AATCCACCAGATGCTCTGCCGGGGAAGGAGGGACAATCTCCTCCTGTACCAGTCAGATCTGATTTGACGGTACACTCACACAAAAATAATAAAAATAAAAAAAAAATAAAAAAGAAAGAATCAGAGTTCGTTGATCTGAGCTCCCATGGCTGGGAAATAGTCACTGCTAAGGCTCTCAAATAAGCCTTATTGTCATTGTGACTTTGCGCTGGTCTGTTTGCGTGGACTGTTTCGTTTTCCACTCTCATAGTCCAAGGATCTCTGCTCTTTGTCTTTCAGTGGCGACACGAGGCAGCATCCTCTACTTCCTCATCACAGAGATGAGCCTGGTTAATGAGATGTACCAGACTTCACTGCGCCAGTTCCTTGGTTTGTTTGACCTTTCCTTAGCCAGGTAGGTCTGCGTCCTGAAAGCTCAGCTGAATTCTTTATCTGGGGGCTGGAAGGATGGCATTATGTTTGCAACTCCCCTTTCCTTTGTTTCACAATCTTTCCCTACCTTCATTTTTAAAGCATGAGATTAGTGTCATTACCAATATGTTAATAAATAATTCCAAGTTGTTATTTTTTAAATTTTTTATTGTGTTTAATGAAAGTTTACAGAAAACTTGGATTTTCACTTATTCATTGTTGCACCTTTTCTCCCCCTCTCCCAGTTCACTTTCCTCTTAAAAAAATTATTTGTTTCACAGTTTTCTCCCTTCTCCCTTACCCTAGTCTGCTTGCTAAACACCTCATATTCTGGACTGTTGTCATGCAAACAATGCCTAATAATATACTCCTTTTAAACAGTTATTTTGCTCATATGTTCCAATGCAGTGTTCAGAGGAACCTCTCCCATTTCAGCGTCAAGAGAGATCTGATTCCTTTGGTTTTACTTGTTTCTCTTAAATAAGAAAATTCCCCAACACCTTGTGAGTGCTGTTACCCTGTGGGAAAGACCGAGTTAGACAGTGTGGAAAAGTCTGTTTTGTTGTTTCACGTTGAGCAAATGCTTCTCATTTTAGATTTAGGAGGCTTACATTTGATGTGCAAAAATAAGAATAGGTCCTCCAAAGTTAGTTATTCTCCATGAAAGATGTTATTTTTTTTGGTAGTCAATTGAAAAGGGCAGTGGAATCAGCTTGATGTAAATGTCCTCTTCTCCAGGTCTGTCAAGAGCCCAATTACAAGCAAGAGGATTGCTAATATCATTGAGCACATGACCTATGAGGTTTATAAGTATGCTGCCCGGGGCTTGTACGAGGAGCACAAGTTCCTGTTTACCTTGTTGCTCACCCTGAAGATCGACATCCAGAGGAACCGCGTCAAGCATGAGGAGTTTCTCACCCTGATTAAAGGTCACTCTAGCATTAGAATATATTGTACACAGGTGTGGAAAGGATTAGCAGTTACTGGAAAGTTCTTTGCAAAGGTGTTGTTTTTTTTCTTCTCTTTTTCTGGCTATAACAATGCAATAATATCCTTTACTTCACTTAGAGATTACATTCATGTGAGATATTTTATTTGTTCATTTGTCCATTGAATATTTTTCGAGAACCTTCTGGGTGCTGGAAAGAGTCCAGGTGGTATGGTGGTTCGGTGCTTTGCTACTAACCAAAAGGTTACCAGTTCAAACCCACTCAGATGGCTTCAAGAGAAAGAAACCCTGGCCATCTGCTTTCATAAAGATTGTTGTTTTGGCTCTGTCTTTTTAAGGCCTCTTGTACCCATAGCAAACCTGTAAGGCTGTAAGACTGCCCAAAAGGATTCCTACATTATGATCTTTATTAAAGCTTATCTTAGATCTCCTGTAGAGCGCTGCTGGTGGATTTGAACTGTCAACCTTTCAGTTAGCAAACAGACACTTAGCTATTGCACTGCTGGAGCCCTTTTCCATAAAGATTACAACCCTGGAAACCTTACAAGAAAGGTGACAGGTCAGCGAAAGAGAGAAAGACCCTCAATGAGAGACATTGTCACAGTGACTGCAGCAATGGGCTTAAGTGTGTCAGAGATTGTGAGGATGGCACAGGATAGGACAGGGCTCAGGGCTGTTGTTTATAGATACACGTATACACACAACATATGTATGTGTGTGTGTGTGTGTATACACACACTCCTGGAGGACAAAGTTCCTTTTCTCTTTATTCACTGATATGGCCCAGATGACGATATTAGGCCCCAGAACAGAGTTGTTGTTATTCGATTCTGGAGAGCTGGTTTGAACTCATAGCTATCCTGTACGATAGAATTGTTGTTGCTGCTGATAGGTGCAATTGAGTCCAGCACGACTCATAGTGACCCTGTAGACAACAGATCTGAGCCCTGTCCTGTCCGGTGCCGTCCTTACAACCTCTCACACACTTGAGCCCATTGCTGCAGGCACGGTGTCAATCCACCTGGTTGAGGGTCTTCCTCTTTTTTTTTT